AGTATTTACTCCATTTTTGAGAAATGAGCAGACAAGAAGCTGGGGGGAGGGACGGGGAGGACAGTCTCTTTCACACATAATTTTACGTTGTCCTGCTATCTCTTTATCTTTCCCTTCCAAGAGTCAGATCTGAGAGAAGAGCCACTGCCCGGACATGTTCAGTGACAGACAAAATTGGTTCAGAGAAGCCGATTGCAAATGCGAATTCTTCCTCTCATTCCACTGTTGAAAAACTTGGTTCCTCCTTTATTCACACCGGCTCGGTCCTTCCGCTCAGAATTCATATCCTGAACGCCTTAGTCCAAAACCAGCCAATAACGAGTTTTTAAAGGACAAACTCCAGAGGGAACAACTGTGTGTTCTGGCTCCTGTGACTCAGGCCATCGCCTCCCCCATCATTATCATATTATCTACACTTGCAAAAGCCACCCACACACAAGGACTGACTAGGAAGGAATGTTTTCAAGGTTTCCAAGAGCAAAATGAAACTTATGTTTTTAACACTGTAACTTAAAACCTTTTTGAGTATAAGACATTCATTTCTCTTTGAGGGAGCATTTCTTGGTAACCGTGAGAAATAATATATTCTCCCTATGATGTAATATGGACAGTCAGAACTGGAAGGGTATTCAAGGAATCTAATGGTTCATGCTATCAGCTTCATGGTTATTTCACCTCGGACTATGTGCATTTTGAGTTTCTATGTTCATGTGTGATTTAATTTCAATCTCAGCTCTGACTGTTACGGTTCCTTAAAACAACAAGATGGGTGAAAACATTGTCTTAGAAGTTCGAATTGCTTCAGAGTATCCTCTTGCCCATTCTAGGCTTGGAAACTTTGAAATGCTTATTAAACATTTTTTTAAAAGGTGGGGGGGTAGAAATAGTCATGGAAAAGCAGGAATATTAGTGTCATCAAATTAAACATATTAATGGTGACTGTGAAGGTAGACTCAGTCTGTCTTTTATTCTGTCAGGACACACCATACTACTGAGGGTTTATTATTCTCTAAGGAGAAAAATATTCATTGAAATGACTTATCAAGTAAAATGTAGGCAATAACCTGTATAACTAACCCTATCTTCTGACTTTCTGGCCAGCTAGCCAAATACTTACAGCATAAATACCCTTCATAGCATTTCCAACAATGGAAGGTAAGGTAACTTAAAAAAGAAAAACTCTTAAAACATGTCACTGTAGAAGATAATGTGTTCACATTGTACCCCCTGTGCTTAAAATTCAATGACTTCCTAATGCTTTTGGGATTAAGGCCAAAATTTTTAATGTAATCTTCAAGTTTCTGCTTTATTCTACAACCTCATCCCAAATCACACTCTCCCAACATCTTCATAATCAGCCACATTGGTCTTCCTTCAAGGCTTTGAATATGCCACAGGGCCTTTGCACATTTTCATTCTGTCTAGATGCCTTCCTCCACTTGCCTCCACTTGTGTCTTAAGCTCTTATTCATCCACCAGATCTTAGCTCAGTACTTATCACCTTTAGGAAATCATTCCAGACTCCTTATCTCATTAGATTCTCTTTCAAATGTGCATTCATAAAGTATGTTTCTTTTCTGCTTGGCATTTACTTACCTCATTTCTATGGTATATCTGTTATCTATTCCTGCATAATAAATCCCCTTGAAATTCAGTGGCTTCATACAACAAACATTTATTATCTCTTGGTTCCTGCTAATCAGTATCTAGGAGCAGCCTGGCTGGGTGGTTCTGGCTCAGAGTCTTGTTACATTGCATCAGGATGTCAGCCAGGGGGTGCCTGGGTGGCTCAATCAATTAAGCATCTGACTCTTGATTTCAGCTCAGATTGTGATCTCAGGATTGTGAGATGGAGACCCTCATTGGACTCCACTGGGTGTGGAGACTGCTTAAGATTCTCTCTCTCCCTCTCCCTCTGCCCCTTCCCACTTTCCTCTCTTAAAAAAAAAAAAAAAAAAAAAAAAAAAAAAAAAGAAAGAAAGAGAGAGAGAGAGAGAAAAGATGATGTTGGCCCAGCTATAGTCATTTGAAGTCCTGCCTGGAGATGGAGGGTCTGCTTCCAGGTTCACTAGTGTGGCCTCAGTTTTCCTTACCATGTGGGCCTCTCCAGGACTTGCTTGAATCTTTTCAGAACAATGGAAGCTGGCTCATCCCAGAGCAAGTGATCCAAGAAAACAGAGAAGGAAGCCCTAGGTCTTTTATAACCTGGTCTTAGAAGTCACATACTCCTCCATTTAATTTGTTAGAAACAAGTCTTCAAGTCCAGCTCACACTGAAGGGCAGGGAAATTAAGCTCCACCTTTGGAAGGGATTTTTGGATGTATTTTAAGACTAACCCAAGACTACTTTTGGGTAAATGTCTACCTCCCTTACTAGACCAACGGTATCTTGAGAACAGGACCCATGTTTCCCTTGTTCACTGTTGTATCCCTGGCACCTTCCGGAATGCCTGGCAAAGTACAGCATTCAGGAAATCGTTAAAAGAATGAATTAAATGATAAAGGAATGAACCTTTGTATTTCAATCCCAGTGTTAGGGAACTCTGGACAAATTCTCTAATATAAGTCAATGGTTTTGGATATTGGGTTTAATTCTAGCTACCTCTCAGGCTATTGTAAGAATTAAACAATACAGCCTATATAAAGCACCCAGCACCATCTGGCACAGAATGGGGCTCATTAAATATTACTTCTCATCTTCTTTGTTTCAATGACATATGCAAACCCCCCGGGCCACACTGATTCTGCTTCTCACATCCCTCCATCTCTCCCAGATTGTGACTCCACTTCCATTACTACCATTCTCCGTCTTGCTCCCTCCTTCCTACTGCCCTCCTGACAATTCCTGGTACTTCTGGTATCTGTTTTGTGTGACCCATCCCATGTTCTGCAACCACGTGAAGTATCTTTAAGCCTTCCGCATTTCAAAACGTTTTTGTCCAAACTCCCCCCCCACAACCAGAGCCCAGTGGAATTGCCCAACTTAATTTTCCACGACCCCCCCCATACACACTCTACAAGAAGACTACTTACTGCCCCTAAATGTGTGGCCCTCGCTCTGTGCTTCCCAACCACTGTCCTTCTGCTTATGCCATTCTTTTCTTCTCTGAGCGCCTACTATAAACCCCATTTATCTTATTGCATTCGTGTTTATTCATGTGTTCCAGGAACTAGAATGTGTGTGCTATTTCTGTTACTAAATTGGAAGCACAACGAAGGCTGGGACTATGTCACTCATTCTTATATCCTCTATTGTAGTTCCTCTGCCCTGCACCAGGAAAGTGTATAATAAACTTCTGTTGAATTGAGTTTGAATTCCAGATGGTTTTTATTTCCTTATTTGTACTGCCTTAATGATACATCCCAGCCCAGTACCAGAATGAGATAGAGCAGCATGGTCTGCCCGTACTGATGATGAGAAATTTGACTTCCAGCCACACAGAACCACGTTCTTTTCACATCTACATAAACTAAAGGACCTACAAACAGCGAATCTTTCGTAGAGCTATTGCAGGATGTAATACAGGCTACATTTTCCTTTAATTCTAGCTCCAATGCAAGTATTTTCACTTAATATTAATAGGACCTCTGTGCTCATTTTTGATTATTGCTAGTAGCAATTTTCATTATTGCTAGTATTTTCATTTCATTATTTTCATTATTTTCATTATTGCTAGTAGCAAGAATACAGTAAATGTATTTGAAGATAGAAAATCCTTAAATGATTCTGGGTTATATCAGTAATATGCAGCACTAAGTAAGATTGGGGAAATTTGCCAAATGAAGAAATAGATGGGACTGACGATGTAAAATATTTTACCTTTGGACTGCTCTGGTAATGCTTCAAAAGGAGATGATGTTTTCATATTTTCAATGAATAACACACACACACCTAAGGAAATTCTTACTTTTGAGTCATGAATAGATACCTTTTGGAAGCATATAGTAAATTTTCAGGCTGAGACTGGCACAGACATGAAAACTATTTATTCAGTGTCTCCTTAATATATTACCAGTAGTGTTCAAACATTTTGACAAACAAAATTATTTTCATTCTGATGAGCAAAGATATTTTGGAACTGTATTTCCCTGTTCCTCCCCATTATCTATAAGGGGCCATGACTGCTTGAATTCTGCAAATAGATGCAACTATCTTCCGACGGGCAGTGACCAAAAACAAATTCTTGTGTGTAAATGTTGGTAACATACTCTTCATCCTCTCAGTTCATTAATCCTGGATTTATAGAAACTTAGTGGACAATCCCTCCTTTGTGTTAGTATCTATGAGCCTTGGGGTTACTAATGAAGAAGGTTCTACCGGAATAAAAGAGACTTTCATTTTTGGTCAAATGTTCAACCAGCTTCAGGGTGAATAGGCACATGTAACATTAAAAACTTTGAGATCTATCTAAAAGCTGTATTTTACAAATGAGGAAATTGAGAGTCAGGAGATTGAAGGACGTCATGGACTCTGCAGCACATGGCAAGAAACTTGTGACCCCGCAATGTGCTTCCCAGTGACTAGGCTGGTCCTGGGTGTATCAAATTTGTCATCATTGGTGCATTGGGCCAGATGATTCTCTGTAGTTTGGGTGTTGTCCTTGCATCACTGACCTATAGTCTCTAGACACCAGTAGCAACTCTTTAACCTGGTCATGACAACAACAACAACAAAATGCCCCTAGACTTTGCCACATGTCCCCCCGGGGTAAAATCTTCCCCTGCCCCATAACAGCTGGTCTCTTCTAAGCCATCATACTGGCATAATCAACTATTCTCTTTTATGTTTTCTGGAAAATACCTTAAGATACTAATGCATCATATTAAATATTAGAACTCTGAATGATTCCTGTGAGAAACCACAGTCTTTCCAAGAAAAGGGACTTCACTGCTTATTTCACACATTCAGATACAACTAAGAACACAGCCTGACTCGGGGTAACCAAACCCAACTAATTTTTAGCCTAAGAGAAGCTCAGAAAGAGACAAAACACAGACTGACAATTTTGATTCATGTTTAATGAAAAAGAAGTTACATGAATAGAAATGGACATAAAACAAAGAGATCAGTTTGGGGAAAGACGGTGATAGGTGGAACAAGGGAAAAATCATTTTATTCCTGAATTTATTCATATATCCTACTTGTTATTGCTGATCCAAAATATCTCCTCAAATCCAAAACAAAGTCATAGTTACAGTTTTGCTGATGTTTTCATGGGAACTCACCAAAGTCATGTCCAAACCATACTTTTCCATCCCCCCACCCATGCCCCCAGAACACACACAAGCAAAGGCAGAGATGTTTACTGGTTGGTAACATGGCGTGAAAGAAATGCAGCCTTATCAGCCTTTTATTCCAATAGCAAGTTAGCACTGGCAGATGTGTTTTTGGCACAAACATGCTTTCTGCTAATATTTTCATGAGAAAGCGTTTATGATAGGCAAGCATTTATTCTTAGTACAATCAATCATTGAGGGATTAAACCTAACTCTGGTGAACATAAATATGTGTGCAGACATTTCTGACTTCAGGTCCGAGCACAGTTGAAAGAGTCAAAATGTGAAGTTTAAAGATACACGGATATGAACCTGTGGCAAGCCTCTCACTAGTTTGTTTCATGGCTCAATTCTGTTCAGGATTCTTAGTCAAGTCAGTCAATATTCTATTTTCCTTCATTTTGTACCCTGATGTACAGGGTGATCACATCTTCCTAAAGAAGAAAAAAAAATCTTTGGAAATGAATAATTGATCTCTGAAAACATATTATAGCCATAGGTTTGCTTTAATCATCTTCTTTCAAATAAAATATCCCTTCTGTCAAACTCGATCGGGCAAGCATTAAATTCATTATAGACGTCTGCCACGTGGGTAATAAAAAGGAATAATAAAATTTTACACACTAGCCCTTGAAAATAAAAATCTTTTGGCCAGCACACAGCAGTCACCAACCTTCTATGCTCACACTGAATCCTTCAAAGTTAGGACGAGCCCTGTCTCTTCTGATACTGTATTCTAAGTTTCTCCAGCTGTTCCACACATTGGGACTGAGCCAACTTCAACGTCCGGTTCTCCTCCATCAGCACCTCGAATTCCCGAGCCAGCTGAGCGGCATCCACCTTCTCCTTCTCTGCCTGATCCAGCTTGGCGATGAGCTCCTTTCTGAAGATCCAGGGGATGGGTGAGGAAAAGAGCACAAGATTTTTTTTTTATTATTTCTTTTCAGCATAACAGAATTCATTGTTTTTGCACCACACCCAGTGCTCCATGTAATACGTGTCCTCCTTAATACCCTCCACCTGGCTCCCCCAACCTCCCACCCCCCACCCCTTCAAAACCCTCAGATTGTTTTTCAGAGTCCACAGTCTCTCATGGTTCACCTCCCCTTCCAATTTCCCTCAACTCCCTTCTCCTCTCCATCTCCCCATGTCCTCCATGTTATTTGTTATGCTCCACAAATAAGTGAAACCATAAGATACTTGACTCTCTCTGCTTGACTTATTTCACTCAGCATAATCTCTTCCAGTCCCGTCCATGTTGCTACAAAAGTTGGGTATTCATCCTTTCTGATGGAGGAAGAATACTCCATAGTGTATATGGACCACGTCTTCCTTATCCATTTGTCTATTGAAGGGCATCTTGGTACTTTCCACAGTTTGGCAACCGTGGCCATTGCTGCTATAAACACTGGAGTACAGATGGCCCTTCTTTTCACTCCATCTGTATCTTTGGGGTAAATACCCAGTAGAAGAGCATAAGAGTTAATGCAAGCAAATTAAAGGGTGCAATCACAGCGTAATGGAAGCAGAACGTTTCCTTTGGCTTTCCTGAATTTCACCATCTCTACTGGCTTTTCCAGCTTCATGATTTTTAGACACTTTATTTTACTCTAGAACCTCAAACAGACACCTCCAAAATACTAAATAGAGACCAAAAAAGCTCAATGAGTCCTTCAATGGTCAAAACAAAAGTGATTTTTTTTAAAAGAATGTAACAGATCATAAAAATTGCAATTAGTTTAGGGCAGAAAAAAACCCAAAAGTGAGTTTATTATTTAAGATGGGATCTATTGTCCTGTGGGTAGAACTATAGTTTGTCTCTTACCTTGTCTTTGTCTTCCATATTCAAATACTGTCTTCCTTTGTTTTCTACTTCAGAGCTTAACAAATCTTTATTAAGCTTCTTTGAACTAAAGAATCCAACTCCTTCCTGCAAATATTATTTTCCATCTCCTTCCCTGCTGCTTGTGTGTATTGTGCAGCCCTATTTAAAAAACAATGTATCTACGTTTCATGCTGGCCTGACTCTAGAATTCAGGAGGTAGGCTAAGGTTATCGGAAGGAACTTGTAGTGATAAGTTCTTAAACAAATTCAGTTCTCAGTAATTGCATGTAAATAATTCATTGATATAAATACACATAATAAGGAGCTGAAGATTCCCAGTCTATGTTTAAATTCATCAAACATGACGACCCAAAACAGGTCCACTCCCCTTATATGAGTTAATTAATCCTGAACTAGATCTAACCAAATTCTTTGCCTATAAACATGTGTCAGATTTCCTTCTCTATAGGTAAAAGCATAAGAAACCTGGAAGACTGCCTTAACCAAGTGACCAACCTTGACCTCACCAGTAAGGAGATAAATAAGATACCGCTGGCACCAAGGACACATCCTTTTTCTGGTATTTTTGCCAAAAATGCATACACTAGACAACCTCAAATTGATGGAAATTTTTACAAAATTGCTAGCCTGTAGTCTTCAAATTGCTAGCCTGAAATGTTCCATATTTAAGGAAACTAAAGAAAAGTGACAACTAAGTGCAATGTACAATTCTGGACTGGAAAAAAATTGCTGTGAAAGACATTGTTCAGAAATTGATGCAATTTAAACATGGATTAAGTAGTAGTAATGCATCAATACTGAAATTCTTAATTTGTAATTATGGTACTATGGTTAATGAGAGAATGTCCTTATTCTTAGAAAATACTGAAGTACTGAAGCATTTAGAGCAATGGGGCATGATTAGATAGATAGATAGATTGCAGACAGATAAATATCTCATCTCACTGAAAGAGGGAGAGAGAGAGGACGCCAGTAGTATGCAATGTTGACTATATAACAAAGTACAACTGGGGAAGCTTTGAATAATTAGTGAATCCAGCAAAGGATATACCGGAGTTCTTTATATCATTTTTGCAACTTTGTTGTAAGTTTGAAAGTATCAAAATAAAAAGTTACCCAGGAAACGGACAAAACACAAATCAGAGTTGAAGTTCTTGTATATTCATCCTTCTCCCCGTGCACTGCCTTGTGCACTGACTTTGATGACCACTGAACAAAACTAGGCATTGGAAAGAAAGTGTCCAAAAGGGACAAAGGGAAGATAAGCTAGAACACTGCTATATAAATACACAAGGTTTCTTCTTGATCTTTGAATTTTCCATGGTATTTAGAACATAAAGGCTCTTAATAAATACTTGCTGAATGAATAAAGAGTAAGATACCTCCAAGACAAAACATGTGTATTTTAAAGAAGAGGAAATGGGAATGCGCAGTGCTTAACTTATTGGAAAAAGTCACCTAACTCATAAGAGCCAAAAATCAAACCTATCCTTCTCATTAGATGTTTATGGCTCTTTGCCTCTAAGCATAGTTTAAGAAGGAAATGTCAATAATTATTAGTAAAGTTCCTTATGTAACTGTCCTAGAGAAATTAATAAGACTTAAAACTCAAATGAACTGTGTGACACAAATAATTCACATCGAAATAGAGTTTTGCTTTCAAATCATGGTCTGGAAATTGGGAGTACCAGGTATAACAATAGTGATGGTTGTGGTTCCATATCTGACCTTGCTTAAAAGTCCTCAAGACATCTGTTATTAGTTTTAACTGGTAAGAAAAGATAAATCACAAAATCACAGAATTTGCAACTGAAAAGAATGATCATGATGGTCTAGTTCAGTTTTCTTATGTTGGAGAAAGTCAATAACAATTTCTTCCTTTCTGGAATCAAGAGGACTCAAATGATAGGTTTCTAAATTAGCTTGATGTATCTGATAAGCAAACATATATATATTCAATGAATACTGTCAAAATGTATGTTGTCTTCTGTCCAAGTCATATCTATATAGACATGTTTATGTCCATCCATTAGCAAATCATAATTAAACCTGGCACATCAAGCTATGGAGACAATCTTATAAACAGATGATCTGAGGAACAAATCAATATCTATAATTGGCTAAAATGTGGCCCTGCCTTTGATTGTGTGTTTATCATTTCTAGCACTCCCTTCAGTGTAATGTGATAAGGGGGTAGGAGACCATCATTACAGGAATCTTATTTCTTTTTTTTTTAAAGATATTATTTATTTATTTGACAGAGAGAGCGAGATCGCAAGCAGGCAGAGAGGCAGGCAGAGAGAGGAGGAAGCAGGCTCCCTGCTGGACAGAGAGCCTGATAATGGGGCTTGATCCCAGGACCCTGGGATCATGACCTGAGCTGAAGGCAGAGGCTTAACCCACTGAGCCACCCAGGTGCCCCATGGAATCCTATTTCTGAAATCAAGAACCTATAATATAGTTTCCAACATGATGTACTTCAGCAATAGAAAGGCCTTGACCTTGGGTCCATCATAGATCATCTGCCATCCCCATCCTACGCCCTATGCCTGGAAAAGTTTTTGTTTGTTTGTTTGTTTTGTTTTGTTTTGCTACAACAAATGGAGGAAGGGAAAGTGCAAGTGAAGAGAACTTTGAAACTTTGTGGAAACTAACTCCAAAATTAAAACATGAATTCACCTGTTACTGGCAAGACCACTATCATCATTCTTGGGACTTTCAAAGATGACTAAGACTTTTATTTGGAAAAGACAAAATCTAAGATGTTTTTGCCATAATGAGATAAAGAGTTCTGGATGATAATGTGATAAAATACTATCTTCATCATGGGAAGAATTTTATTCAAAATAGTGATTTAGACTGCACTATTGGTGGTTCTTAAAAGATGTGTGTTCTAGTACAAGCACTGATACACAGGAAAAAAGAAGTAGATGCCTCAAGATGGCAAAAAAGGATGTGAAAATCTACCTTCATTTTATGTGGGTGGGGGAACAATCAATGGTATTGAATTGGAATTGCAAAGCACAGTCTAGACTGTGGTAATTGAAGCCCTACGAATGAATAATGCATAAGAAATAAATGTATTACATCATTTGGGAGCCAAAGGGCAACACTTCTTGCAGGAAGAAGTGAGATTTGCTCTAGAGTTTCTCTTGGCACAATTAATCTTTTGGGCCGGAAAACTCTTTGTGATTAGAGGCTGCTCTATCCACGGGCATCACAGAAGGGTTAGCATCATCTTTGGCCTCGATTCACTAAATGCCAGTAGCATCTTTCCCCACCCCCGATCATTACAACCAAAAATGTGTCCAGCCATTGCCAATAACCAGGGGTTGGGAACTGAGGAATTGGTCTAGTTAAGAACCACGACCCCAGAGGAAATGGAGAGTTCCCCTATTGATCACCCCATGAAGAGTTAATCCTAGAGGGGTGCCTGGGTGGCTCAGTTGATTAAGTATCTGCCATCAGCTCTGGTCATGATCCCAGAGTCCTGAGATCGAAGCCCACATCAAGCTCCTTGCTCAGCGGGAGCCTTCTCCCTCCCTCTGCCTATTGCTCCCCCTGCTTGTTTGTTCTCTCTCTCTCTCTCCCTCTCTCTCTCTCTCTCTCTCTCTGTGTCAAATAAATAAATAAAGTCTTTTAAAAAAGAGAGAGAGAGAGAGAGAGAAAGAGAGAAAGAGAGTTAATCCTGGAATAGGAATGGATGAAAGGCAAAAATTTCCTCATTCTACTCCCCCAAAGATTGGAGCCTCTTTCCTTAGCCAGGGAAATCTACTTACAGGCACTCTCATTGAGAAGTGGTAAATATTCTGTCCCTTTTATTACGGTTCCAGGCAGAGATTAGAAGGAGAGATACTGAGGAATGAGATTCTCGGTAGAAGACTGAACATCAGATAATTAAGTGGCATAAAAGGCCCAAATCATTATGACTAGGGCATACGCTGGTACTGGGTGACGGGGTTACACTGCAAACACTTATGGAGAAATATCTCCATTTACTATTGCTTTATGACAATAAATTTGCTAATTTCTGGGGG